CTGGTCGAAGGAGAGTATCTCTGAAACTTCATCTACAACCATACCTAATTCTACATAATATTGGAGCTCTTGGTAATAAATGACATAGTTCTTTCGTGATCCAAGATGGAAGACTAATTTTTTTGTGGCAGAGAAACGTCTACCATCTAATTGTTTTACAAGTTTAGCATTATAAGGACTTAACCAATCCTTTTCTACAGCAATATTTTCTACGTCTAGAGGTAAGTCTTTTAAATAATTATGAGTTTTTAAAGGAAAATGAGCATTAATATTTAAGAAATACCCTTGTTTAGCATCAAATTGTGTATTGAGACTTTTTTCAAGATATTTCTTCTATATAGCTGGATTTTTTAGTAAATATTCCTGACTAGCTTTCCATTGATATTTTTGATAGATAAATATTAACTCATAGAATGCCATAAAGATTTGTTGCGTCTACATATAATATCCAGGATGTAAGTTTAGATAGGTTATAGGCTTTTCCTATTTTGGGATTATTGGCCTTAAAATATCGTTTATAGGCCATAGATATACCACCACGCTTAGCTTTTTTGGTAAAATCATGCATAGTCATATTTGTGAAAAGTTCAATCCTAATTCCTGACATTTTAAGCATTCCATCTCAGGATAGTGATGGAGTAGAAGCATAGTGACTGGGATCAAGTTCATAATATTTGATAGACATTTTTCGAAATTCCGTCCAAACATCTGTTAGACTAAATACGTCAATTTTAAGATAGAGATCATGGTATTCACCTAGATTTTTACATCCAAATTCCTTCCATACTTTCAGGACGTGTTTGTAGTCATCTTTTGAGATCTTACCTTTAAGAGTTCTATAAAATTCATGAATAGGAGGAAGTTCTGTCTCCTGAAACCTATCATGAGAATCGATATAGTCATAGAGATAAACTCCTTTGCAATATACTAATGCTAATTGCTTTTCTGTATAATATATTTTTTTGAAATATTGGCTTGTTATTGGGTTGGTTATCACCCAAATTGTTTATAAGACTGGCCAAGCTACTATTCATGAATTGAATGCTATCTATAGATTTAAGTTAACCTACCTTCATAGATTTATATTACTCAAGTATTTCAGCTATAACTTGGATATGAAGAGCATTAGCTGATTGCCTGACAGACTTATAAAGCAAGTGAGAGTCATAACCTTGTAAGTTGTTGAAAATAACTGGGATCGGTGTTTTCCAAGCCTATATCTGGAGTTTAAAATTGCAATCCCTATTAGCTGAACCTCAAAACTTACCTGTGATATGACAGTGATTCCAGATCTTAATATCCATACCATAGCCTCTGCTTGATCAATTGCCTTAGTCACTTTGAGAATTTATATTGTTAATGACTTATAATCTTCTGAATTCTTTGGGGTATTTTCTAGCTTATTATTGAACCATGATGCCTTATTTTCTAAGCATTTAACTTCTTCTCTATCAATAGTAATTCCCCTTACAGATCCAGCAAGTATCTGATTTGGAAAATCTTTTCTTGTCTTCTTCAGTCTCAATTCGATCATGTTTGATAGCTAAGACCTCATTGATTTTGACCAACTCTTGATCGATTCTTTGAACAAATTCTTATGTTGCATTCGCTTTTCTATATAAGAATGGACCCTATACATCTCCAGTATCGATCTAATGAACCAAATAGCAGAAAATGTTGGCCTTCTGCTCAGTGAGTTTAATCATACTTCCACCATATGTCTCATTACATTTCTTATTATTACCCTCAAAGTTAGCTATAATAATACATAGAGCATTGATCATTCGACCATAATTTTTGAACTTTTCATAATCATTAACTTCTTTTACTGGCATTGTGACTCTTTGAGAAGCATTTTCATGTATTCCTGGACACCATTCTAAATGATGTTCTAGAGACTTTTCAAAAGGCCAGCTTATAGTACTTCCATCACATAAATACTTCTTACCATTATGGGCAGTATCTTTGAAAATTAATCTGTTAATATTTTGATCCAAAAGAAATGGTTCTTTTGCCTATATTTACCTGTTTCGTCATCTTTAGTAATATCTGTAAGGGCTAATAGACAAATTTTATGTTTTCTTTTAAAGTTTT